TTACGAAACATAACAGAAAGCTAGAACAAGAAATTGAATTAAGAAATGAGCATGTTAGCTAGCTCAACAATTGTTTTAAGAAGCTTGTAAAAGTAAAATGAAACTACTGCTAGTATCATGTTCCTGTCTAACCCGAGTGTTTCAGAGATAGTATTTGTACTAAACCAAAAGATGCCGCTCTTAACGGTACAGTTAATGATAAAGCGATTTAAAAAATGAAACGAACGTAATTTCTAAGTCTGCTGTAATAACCAAGAAGCTTAATTTTACTGCTATTCAAAATCGTCAACAATAAATTTTTTACGGCTGTAATAGTTGATAGATTTGTAGAGAATTGCACGTGCCATGGCTATTTATAGTATCATACTGTCAGAAAGTTGGCCTCGACACGGCGAATGTGCACGCTTCAGTGGTAGTCTCGAACTATCAGCGGTTGACTGTATTTCTGTAGGTGCATGGGCCACCCTAACAAAGGGCTTGGTAAGGAACAGCCGCTATAAGTTGTTCAGATTTGATGGAAAATCCAAGGTCATATGTCTACCATTGGCAGCACATTAAATATCCTTAAAAGGTGGAAACTGAAATAAGAGCAGGCTGTATTCCTGTTGTCTGGGCAAAATTTCACTCATAGCACATATGTACTATTCATTTTATGTTTTCTGTAAGATTTACTTCTGAACATGGCAAATTGTTTACTATTTGTACACTACTTGCTGATCCATAAACACTTTCACCATATAGAGCTACGGCCTACTCTTATATTGAATTCCAACTGCCAAGGGATCTTTAACGTGTACGCCAATGTCTACACAGGACCACAGTTTTTCTTCCCATCTGAATGACTAGACAGCTGTCTTTGTCAGACCCTCAGTCCTGCACCACTGACAAGGAGAAACCTGGTGCCGGCCATCATATGGAGCTTTTCTTACTGAGCAATTATTTCAGGGAATAAAAAATGAGGGAAGGGGTTGACTGAAATGTTCTGTTATATATTGTTTAAAAAGACATTACTTTTAATAGCAGGGCATTTAAAAAAAATCACCATACATCTTCATGTTTTGTATCACCACCCAAACCCAAATTGTCCGTTTTCCAACATGTGACTCAAAATTCTTCAGTACAGACGACAGGGATATTATTAATATTCTTTAAAATCTAGCTGTCAATTTCCTTCTTAATCTAATCGTCCCTCTCTTTCTGTCCGCCATCAGACGAAAGCCACAATAATATTACTGACCCAGTTTTAACACAAACTGCCAAGGAGAGGCGGAGGACGGGCTAATAATAGAATGATGTCATCACAGAGACTCCAGTTTATTGGTTGTTCACACAGATGATCAATATCGACAATAACCAGACGAGCCTTTCACTCAGATTACTTTGAAATTAAATTACACCACCCTGGCATACAGTAACCAATCATAGACTACAATTTAATTGATGTTACTAGTATCGGTTGTCAATTTTCGCTTTTTTCTTTAAGAAATGATTTTTCCAATTATTTGTAAAAAAAAATTTAAAATTTGTGAAAATGTTTCTGTACAGTTGACATGTAATTGAAGTAAAGGAGATGATTGAAGGTTTGTGTAGACGATGATTGTATGTCAGAGGTTGCTGAATAAGGAATAATTTCGGCCTCAACAGTTTCACTGTTTAAAAGCTAAGTTTTTGCTGAATAAAGAATAATTTCGACCTCAACAGTTTTACTGTTTAAGAGATAAGTTGTTCGACAGTTTTTTAATGTTTAAGAGATAAGATGTTCAACAGTTTTACTGCCGAAAAAAAAAAAGGATCAGATTTGGAAGAGTAACGTTGAATGTATCATTTGCTAATACTAATCACAATATTAAAATGAAATGAAATGGGGTATAGCATCTTTTTGGCTCACACCATGCTAATGAAAATGTACCAAAACAGCAGTGTTCTTGCCTACTCTTCTTTGAATTTTAACAGTCAAGGATTCTTTTACAAGCACACTGACAAGAACACAAGCAGACTTCAGCTTTTTGTACCATCTAAAGGACTAGACACTTTTTTAAAAAATGAATCAAATGGGGTTTACAGTTGGTCAATCTGAGACGAAAATAGTTGTACGGCTGTTCTATTTCTATGGTGCATAGTAAGGTAGGAGAATTTCGCCAGGACAGTGGCACTTCTGCCTAATCTTCTTTGATTAAATGTGGTTTCCCCTTGTCAGTGATGCAGGACGGAGGGCCTGACAAGGGCAGCTGTCTAGTCGTTCGGATAGGACGAAAAACCGAGGTCCCGTGTACATATTAGCGTACACGTAAAAGATCCCTTGACAGTTGGAATTCGATATAAGAGTAGGCCATAGTGCCGCTGCCCAGGCAAAATTTCCCTCATAGCACACTGTATGCCCGTCTTCATTAGTCCAGTTTGGAGCAGAACAGTAGGACGTTAAACCACATTTCATTACATTTCTTTGATTAAAAACTGTCAGGGGTTCTTTAACATGCACGCCAATGTAATTGGTTAAATACATATGTACATCACTACAGAGAGAGAGAGAGAAATGGGGTTTAACGTCCACTTGACACAAACAAGGTCATTTCGGGACTAACATATGGTTTTAATTTTATTTCAATAATTCGCTTGCGCCTAGGGGTCTTTAGCGGTGGGAGGAAACCCGAGGACCCGGAGAAAACCCAGGTGGTTGGACAGGCGACCCTACTCCTTGTCACGTACAACCGGGGAATCGAAACCATGCCAGTTGACTCAATGACAGACTTTATGTTCCAGCGCACACACGCTAACCTTTCAGCCATCCAACCCCCCTTACATCACTACAAGAATCCTGCCTATTATTTAGTTCAACAATTAGTAGATAGTTTAGTTAGTTTCGTATCATTGAAAATTCATGTATAGGCTACATGAATGTTTTTATTTATTGTATATATGTCTTTTATCTATAACTAGAAGAATGCCTGGCTTCGCTCGGGGGTCATAACCCTGAAACCGCAAGTGGTAGACTAACGCCACCTGGCCTATGTTACTCCCCGGTCCGAGCTACCCCTATACCCCAAATTTCAGACTCGGGGCAGAGCTAGTGTAACCGCCAACCCCGAACAGACAGACAGACAGACAAACCGACAGTCACTATAATGTTTTAGTTGTTATTGGGATAGGGAACACAAATACACTTGTTTCTAATCGTGGTACATTTAATCTCTGCTTGGTTGACATCGGTAAACCAAATTCATTCACTTCAATGTTAAAACTATGGTTTCTATATCTAAGGCGTTAAGTCATGGTTGAGTTTTTGCACTCTATGATGGAGGTTGGCCTTCAGGCTCATTTATTGGATGAGTCACACTAAGAGATTTATCTCATGGTTTTATATCTAAAGTACAATTAAATCCTTTCATGTGAATGGTAAAATCTGTTCCATAGGTTATAGATTATTATTTTTTTTTTGAGGGGGGGGGTGTATTAAAGTGTCTTATTGATATGTGTCTTTTTTTTTTAGCTTTTTTTATTTTCGTAACCAAACACTTTGGTTATATTGTCTTTATTTAAAGTTGCAATTTCAAGTTATATTTTTAAAATGTATTAAAATAAAGCCTTAAAATAGATTGTATCCATAAACAGTCCTACCTTGTTAAAGAATAATCCTATTAATCCTATAATTCGCTATTGTCAGCTGAGAAATTGGCAAAAATATCATTTTTTAACTTCAAATTCCAACGTTGGAAAATGGCTGCCCCATGTTGTCAATAGCAAAACAGGGGAGGTAATTGTGTTGTTATTTCCTGTGTCATAGATTTTTAAGGGTGGGAAATAATGCCCATGATCGTATAATAGTGAGTTGATAACCTATTGAGCAAAAGACATAGAAATAATTATGTTTTAACTTTCTTAGAAAATTTGAAATTCTCGCTTTAAATGTACAGTGTTGTTAAATAAAAATAAAAAGGGTTTGTCTACGAACTGACTAGGACTGCTTCTTCCTAACCAGAAATACTAACCCACAGGAATTATACTTAAGGACTTTTATTAGGATGTATTAAAGTATCAATTCACAATAGTGTGACTGCCCCTTTACTAAGAGGTAGTTGAAGAGTAGAGGACAAGTTATACAAGTCTAAAGGTCAGAAAGCCAAGCAATCCAGTAAATTGTTTTTACTGACAGGAGAATAGCATGCATATTATATAAGCTATATATTGTCCACATCAATCTGCTAGTCTGGGAATTGTGTACCTGCTGCTATTTCACCATGGAAATGGTTCACTGGGTCCATCAAACAGAAAGTGGTAAATATTTTTCAATAATGAAGGTTCTCTACAGCAGCAGATAGGGATTACTAGTTTTGCTCGTCGCCTTTTCATGGTGAAAGCAAGAATTTGAAAAGAAACAGCTGGAATGAAGTGATCATTCACAAGCTTTTTCTTCTAACATATTTTGAATAGCACCCGAGGGAAATAAGGTCATTAAACTTCGAATGAGGACACATGCCATTAAGATCATATGCAAAAAGCTTTTTCTGATGTACATGTAAGCCATAATTACTTCAGCTATAACTCATTCAATAACTGACAAATTTCTGTGATCAACAATCTCAGAAAATATAGACCATAAGGTTGATTTGATATTGTTGTTCATTTTGTGTAATGTGTGTGTCTTGTCTGCAGGTTTGTTTTATAGGTTTTGTTAGTAGTGTGGTCCTCCTGGCCTTAATAAAAGCATGTGTTGACAGACTGACCGACCGACAGACTGACATCTCAATAGAAGGATAGAACAACATGTGGAAAGGGTTGCTTTAATATAAGTTTGTAAAAAGGTGTGTCAGTATCAGATTTTAAATATTACATAAACCCTGTTTACATTAAAGCTTCTAAACGTGCCAGGAATGGTTCTCAGAATAGTTAAATTTTTGTAGTGTAAAATGGTATATGAAATTTTTGACATTTGTAATCTAACAATGTTACATTTTTTTTTCAAAATATAAAATTACGAAAAAGAATTTATTCTAAAAACTTACCAAATTATAAATTCCTAATAAAAAAGCTTCCACACCTCCACAACTCTGAAAAAAAAAAATAAAAAATAAAAATAAAACTGTATAAATAATTCAACTAGGTTATTTTAGGACTTACCTATGGAAATTATTTTATTTCAAAATTTTGCTTGAACAGAAGGCTCTTAAGTAGTAAAAAAAGAAAATGGACAAAATTTTTTAAATGAGATGAAATGAAATGAGTTTTTAACATCTTAATTTTCCGCACCAACCTTTCCAATAAGATATGGCTATACCCAATACACCAAACATTGGCACTAAGGCTCACAGTATGGTGATTTGAATAGGCTGCCAATGACATACACATTGGAAAGACTAGAAACCTTTCCTGGGTGGGCCCTCCATCTTACACAACAGACAAAGGGGTTGGATGGCGTGGTTTCGAATCCCCGGTTGTAGGTGACAAGGAGTAGGGTTGGTCCAACTTCATGGGTTTTCTCCGGGTCCTCTGGTTTCCTCCCACTGCTAAAGACCCCTACGTGCAAGTGAATTATTGAAATAAAATTAAACCATATTATGTTAGTCCCGAAATGACCTAGTCTGGGTCGAGTGGATGTTAAACCCCATTTCTCTCTCTCTGCACGACAGACAAGATGAAACTTGGCTGGAAAATTTAGAGGAACTTTCTCAGCTAAAACCAAGATAAAACACAGGGCCTCCTGGTTTGTGGAAGAGCATGATACTCACGAGTTACCATGGTTCCCCTAAATTTGTGACAACAATTTTTTGATCGTCTAGAAGAACCCTATCCTACTCCTTGTCATGTACAAGCCTCTATGATCTAAAGCGCACATTTAGACCGCTTGACCACCAAATATATTTTATAAGGAATATTTACTCATCATGCAGCAAGGAGTAGGATCGCCTGTCCAACCCATGGGGTTTCCTACGATCCCCCTGCTTTCAATTTTATTCCAATAATTCGCTTGTGCGAGGCGATCTTTAGAAGTGGGAGGAAGCCAGAGGACCCAGAGAAAACCCAAGTGATGGAATAAGCGAACCTACTCCTTGTCATGCACAAGTAGAGAATCGAAACCATGCCCCTTGATTCAATGACGACCTTGTGATTCCATGCACACACATTAAACCACTAGACCATCCCCCTATACTACAATGTACAATGAACAAAACCAGTATCAGTTCAAGGCTGTATTACTTATTTAACTGTTCAATAAAGCAAATTATAACTAAAAACAAAACAAAAAAAATCTGATTCATTTTATCCTTCACAAAAGGATTTTATCCTCGAGCAAAAAAACTGATTTAATTATCCTTTATGAAGAGAAATGACCAACAAAAGATTGTACATAGGGAACAAGTAGAACTTGAGAATGAACAGGTGTCAGAATTGATGGTCGGACATTTTGATCAATATATCTATTGTTACTATCTTCACTTAGAGGAGTAATTATCAAACGCGAGATATCGAGGATCCGTTAATCTTTACGATTGTTCATCCCTTGTGTCAACACGGGCCTCTTTACTCGATCAACATCTTCTATTTTAAAATTCACACATCAAATATTCTCACTGATTTATTGGTCAATCAGTGGAAGTATCTGATCATCATCCAATCAGATCTTTTCTTTTTCTCCCATGTCTTCATTATCCCCATTGGTGCAGGGACGTTAACCTCATTTCACTTTATTTCATCTTTTTAACTGTGTATTCATTATTATGTTTATATAAAAAGGTTTAGATTGGATGAAAAACGTTGAATATGTCTTATTTGGTTTTATTGAAATCCAATTATTTTTCCTGTGCTTTTTTTTTTTTGCACATGGGGGGTTGGTTGGTCGAATGGTAGCACGTGTGCACTGTATCATTAGGTCTGTCATTGAGTCAACTGGCGTGGTTTCAAAACCCTGGTTGTATATGACAAGAATTAGTGTCGCATGTCCAACCTCGTGGGTTTTCTCCGGGTCCTCTGGTTTGCTCCCACTGCTAAAGACCCCTATGCGCAAATGAATTAATGAAATAAAATTGAACCATATCTTAGTCTCGAAAGACATACATGTAGTTTGCTCTCTTTCTTGTTCATTTTTCATTTTTTGGACCAGGAACTGGTTGCTAACCACTGCTCATCTTTGTTTTTGGGGGGATGCTCCTCGAAAAAGCCTAACGCATGTCCGATCGACATGAAAACTGGCATGCTTCTTCTTTGAACAATTCTGCATCGATTTGGTGAATTAGATTTTTGAATTTTACCCTCAGAACAAAGTTATGACGTCATAAACTGTGTCAGCCTTCGTTAAAGAAATCTTTTCAAATTCTGTCTTTACAGAGTAATAGATCTACAAGTAGAGAACATTACCTGGGCCATGTTTCTCAAAATCTTAGCTAAAGATAAAATCCAAATTTTAGTAGATTCTTCAATTTTGATTGGCTAAGCACTAAAATCAATCTTATATTATCCAATCAAATTACTAAAATTTGGATTTTATGTTAGTTAAAACTTCGTGAAACAGGCCCCTGTATGTTAAAACTATATGTACCCGAATGAGGGGGAACTGTATGTACCATATTCTCGAACATCAAGGTCAATTCCTGGGTCCATACACTGTAACCCAGGTATCGTTTAATCTTGTGTATCTAGCACTAATTTCTTTCACATGTGTTTAATATCAAATCTTTGTTTAAAAATTTGTAAAAATTGTTTAAAATCACCAAAAATCATCTAATTTGTACATGTGTCCAGTTTAAAGCTGACTGATTAATTTTGATAATGAGTGTCCAATTTACAAATATTTAATTTCCTGATCACTGTTCAAAAATTAATCATTATACATCATTAATCAATTGGGTTGTTTATTTTTTAACAATGATTGAGAAATTAAACACTTGTAAATTGGACACTCATTATCAAAATTGAATGGTCATCTTTAAACTGGACAGAAGTACTAATTAAATGATCTATGGTGATTTTAAACAGAGATTTGATATTTTATGTGAAAGAAATTAGTGCTAGATACACAAGATTAAACGATGCCTGGGTTACAGTGATAGTATGCTAAATTGTGTTTTTAATGGACAGTTAGTCGTACAATGTCTAGCTACTTTGTACTACGATGCAGAAATTGAGAAATGAAATGGGGTTTAACATCCTACTTTTCTGCACCATCAGGCTAAAGAGAAAGAGAGAGAAATGGAGGTTAGTGTCCACTTGACACAAACTAGGTTATTTCGGGACTGACACATGGTTCAGTTTATTTCAATAATTTGCTTGCACATAGGAGTCTTTAAGCTGTGGGAGGAAACTGTGTACCCCGAGAAAACCCACCAGATTGGGGATTTGAAACCATGCCACTTGACCTAAAGCCCCTCATCTAGGCTAATAAAGATGGTCATGTGGCATACATTTTTCTAATCACTTGTGCATAGAAGGCTTTAAACAGTCAGAGAGAGAGAGAGAGAGAAATGGGGTTTAACGTCCACTCGACACAAACTAGGTCATCTCGGGACTAACATATGGTTTAATTTTATTTACATAATTCGCTTGCGTGTAGGGGTCTTTAGCAGTGGGAGGAAACCGGAGGACCCGGAGAAAACCCACGAGGTTGGACAGGCGACCCTACTCCTTGCCACGTACAACCGGGGATTCGAAACCACGCCACTAGACTCAATGACAGACTTTATGATACAGCGCGCGCACGCTAACCATTCAGCCATCCAACCCCCCTTAAACAGTCAGAGAAAACCCACATCCAAGCTTGGGATCGAAACCACGCCCATAGGAACAGAAAATTAGGACATTATTCTTGAAAAAGTATGAGAGAGAGAGAGAAATGGGCTTATTAACTAGGTTATTTTGGGACTAACATATGGTTCTATTTTATTTCATTAATGGGAGGAAACTCACAAGGTTGGCCAGGCGACCCTACCCCTTGTCACGTACAACCAGGGATTTGAAACCATACCAGTTGACTCAATGACAGGCCTTATGATACAGCGCGCACATGCTAACCATTCAGCCATCCCCCCCCCCCCCCCCCGGAAAAAATATGACTATTGAAGTGGAATGATGAATGGTAATTTAGCATGAGGAAGGGTATGCTCACTGATTCCAAAACACAATATTCTTGTGGCAGGTTTATACAGCTGAATTCCAAACATTTAGTACATGATCAAATTTTGTCGTTTTGGGTTTAATGGGGGGTCGTAAAGGACAAACCACCTCCACCACCACCAGTATTGCTTAGGTAACCATAGAAACAATTAAATATATTAACCATATTCCATATTTTAATCAGGTTCTGTCATTACTCAGCTTGGCAGAAAGTTATATGAGTATAAATAATCATTGAAAAAAAATAAATTTTCTTCCATGTCACAAAGACCTAGCTTATAAAAATGGAAGTCATTTCCCTCAAGGCCAGAAGAAAGGCATTAAAACCATATTATTATTTTTTTAAATTCATAATATCATTGTCTTTAAAATTCTAAAGAGTAATTTCAGTAGAAAACTTGAGACAAACTGGAATTAAATTAGGAATGGGAGACGTATGTGTATGTGGTATAAGCATGTCTATCTTACGGACATCTCATAATCTAGTACGCGGCTGAAGCTTTTAATACTCTTGCTAATCATGATAAATAACGCTTTAGAACTAATGTGACATTTCAAAGCGAAAATAACATAATAATTAATTTCTTGGTTATTAAGATTAATATTACTTTGGTTTCCATGACAACCAATAAAAACATAGTGTATGTGTATGTCATTTATTGAACATTGTGAAAAACGTGCAACAATATACATATATATTCAATAGTTGTTAATATGAAGAGATGCCAATTATTTATTTTCCGCGGACTTAATTAGCGTTAATTATCTTTTTTCGATGATTTTTAGTAATTAGTAATATTAGCGAGTCAGATGATAATGACAGTATTACCAAATAACTGTTAAAATGGCCATTATATTCACAGTATCCTAAAAAGACCTATCCTTAATATTGATCAAAGTATTTCCTATAATTGTACACTAACAGCGTTCAGATATATAAATT